ACTGAGCCACCCAGGTGCCCTCTAATGTGATTTTAATAGGAACTCTCTCGCGGTATTCAGTATTTAAAGCCCAGGTCAGAATTGACTTATAAAAACACAAATAACAGAGAATAGCTATCAGCTTTCAAATGGAAAATAAATTGAAATATAATTTGATGAAATCGAAACCAGGCCACCATCTGATTACAAGGCATTCCTTAGCATGTACCTTATGTTTAGCCAGAAGAGTCATCTGTCCAGAAGAGCAAGTCCTTTGACAAGCAAACTAGGTTAGATGTGGTAACCACAGACTTTATATGCAGAGATGATTCTCATTCCTAATTCTTTACTGCCTCGGGCTCTAGCATCAGTATTGTAATCTGTGAAGCAAAACCCAGCATCTGAAAAATGACAGAAATGGAGGAAGGGTTTGAGCAGAAAATACCTACAACACAATATGTTCTTTGACACATTTACCCACGAAGAAGGAAATTTGCTCAAAGTGTTAGGCCTCTGGGGGACTTACACAGAAACGTGGTGGGCTGAAGAACCACCAAAGGCTCTCTCTTTGTTGCGGAGCTGGCAACTCCGCTAGTCAGACTAGACTATTTAGAAGAGCAGTGATATGTCAACATATCTAAGGAAGGGAACTCTTCTTATAATTACAGGTAAACAAGAAAAGAACCTGAAATATTAAGCAGAACTGAGAAAATGAGGCCTTCTTGCCCAGCATGGTACCCCAAGTAGATGCAGTCAGTGTTCTTCAGGGTGATGGTAATTATGATGAAATCTGGGGTGGGAATTATGACTTAAATTTAATGTGTTTCATAATTTGGACACAAATGCCATTATGCAAACGTGTGGAAGCATGAGGGTTTGTAACCGCTGCTATATAAGGATCAAAGTTTTCAGACGTCATACTTATAAAAAATAAGCACTAAGGTGCTGTTCTTTTTTTATTGGGACTTTACTCATTCATCTAAAGGTGAAAGAGCTGAATAAATCTATGAGGAAGGTGGAATGTTTCCCCGAGATGATGCACAGATATAACTCAGAAGTCATCACGGGTCGCTGAAAATCATAGACTTCTTGAAGAAGAAGGTCTGGTTAGAGATAAATTAGAGGTAGTTCTGAAACCAGAGCAATGCAATTCTCAAACTGGTGAGTAATAGTTTTGTGTGCAGCTCCTAGTCACATAAACCTAGACTGAAGGTAGGCTTAGGGAGACAGAAAAAAAAATCTAGAAATCCTTGGGAATCATATAATTTTCGGCAGAGAAGTCACTGTGAGATTAGTTTCTAAATCTAATGTGTACACGGAGGAAACCAAAGCAATTTGTTCGCTGTTATAGGGCCTCGTAAGTGGCAGAGCCAGAAAACAGCGGAGCCAGGACTTCAGTGCAGGTCTCCTACCTTTACAGTTTCCTGTGTTTGTTACCTCGTGTTCAGCGTACTTTGTGATGTCCTAACTGAAGCATGTTAGGTCTTAAAGGGTGACTTCCTGAATGACATTTTTTTGGTCTGTTAGGGTTAGTTTGTAAGTGCTTAAAGATGCCAATCAGTTAAGTGGGGCTTTTATTACGTGTATAATCTAATGCCCTTCATCATCCAAATTATTCTAAGATAAAAGAGCACATAATGGGCAGAATGATTGCCTAAGAACTCTCCTTTCATGACCCATACCATTTTTATGAAACAAAAGCAGCTTGGCAGACTATTCATTTCTTTTACGTGGTTTCTTCAAAGTTAAAAATAAGTTTATGTTAGCAATCTTTAACTACCAGAGCCGTTTTAGGAGGGAAGAGCAAGGTAGACAGTCATTTTATTATATGTGAACTCTGCTCGGTGCTCTTACAACTTGGTCTGAGCAACTCTTGTTAAAATGCAGTTGCTATATGGAAACCTCTTCCATGTGAGTTCTTGTCTCTAACGCAAATACTACTCGTACCTTAAAAATAAGTAAGCCTATTGTTAATTTCACGTTCATAGAATACTCCTGTAGGGTAGGAGGAAGTTACATGATCCAGTTTAACAACGAGAAAGTTGAGGCACAGTAAAGTTAAGCAGATTTCTCAAGTTCACAGTTATTTAGTGGAAACGGCAGGACTAAAATTCGGGTCTTTCTGGACATGTTCTTTTGATTTTAACATTAGAAAAAGGATCTTATTTGGAACTTTCCTTACAGCACTTTATTCTCTGTTTTGTGAATGACTGTTTTCTTTTTTCGATTATGGCACCCCACAAAGTTCATGGGCATAGCAAGTACTCAATTTTTTTTTTTCTTTTTTAAGAATTAAGAATGTGAGAATCACTCTTACAGGATGGATGTGATCTGAGGTAGGACAGTGAGGCATTGTATATAATTAGTTCAATTATTTCCCCCTTCATCACAGTGTAAGAGCATTCTAGTCTAATTAGCAGACAGTGGGCGGAAGGCCTGCACCAAATTTCCGCTATCATCACAGTTATTAGCTCAAGATACAGGCCTCAGTTTCTTCATTAAAAACATGAAGGGGTAGTGTTTTTAATATGAGAAAACTAGTTTCCATTTTCAGAATTACATTTCTTGGCTGGTAATGAAGAGTTCTTAAGTTTTACCATACACCAGGCACAGCTCTGAGCTCTTCATTTAGGTAAGCTTTTATAACCTCACAACCCATGGTTTTGGTGCTATTATTATCCTCATTTTCATACACGGGAATCTGAGGCTTAGAAAGGTTAAGTAGCCCAAGATTTTGCAGCTAATCAAAGGCAGACACAGCTGAAAACCTAGGTCTGACTCCAAAATGTAAGTATTAGTATTACATTGTATTTTACCTATAGCTTTACAACTCTGACAGCCAAATTTTCCAGATGGCTAAAGTCCTCCCTATTGTAGATATGTGGCCACCCCAAATAGAGGTGTATCATGTCCTACTAAGATAAAAATTCAGTCTAAGGAAACTCCTTTTTGTAGACATTATTTGTTCTAGACCTGAGGCTGTATCTGGATGCTACTTTATTTAGGTTGCAATATGTTCCCAACACCCACCTTTTGAGTTTTTTAAATGGTATTTTAATTTTTCCATCAGTTTGTGTGCTCAGACACCTGTAAGCTTTCTCTACGATTCCTCACAGTGCAGAAAAGGAATATTTTTTAACATTATATTAATAGAGAGCTCCAGATTACTGGTATATTTTAATGAGCAGCCCATTGAACAGGTTCGCTCTCTAATTGATTACAACTCCCATGGGAACACTACTCCAGGGAGAACGAACTCCCAGACATTTTGCTTTTTCCTTCTGTCCTTTAGTCAGTTTGGTTGTTAGGATTAAGCTAACCCAACAACCAAGGATTGCTAGGCAGAAAAGGATTGAACCTCTAGCTCAATTGCCTCCTTTCCAGAGCGATAGGTGAGGTCCAGGGGATTTAGAGGTGCATATGTTCATATCTGTGCTGTCCCATCATCCAAGACTCTAGGTGATGGTCTAGTCAACGGAGCCCCTGACAGCTGATGAGAATTTCTGGAGTAGGTTTAAGGGTGAGGAAGAGGGGGCACCTGGGTGGCTCAGTGGTTGAGGTCTGCCTTTGGCCCAGGTCGTCATCCCCGGTCCTGGTATGGAGTCCCACGTGGGGCTCCCTGTGGGAAGCCTGCTTCTCTATGTCTCTGCCTCGCTCTGTGTGTCTCTCATGCATAAATAAATAAAATCTTAAAAAAAAAAAAAGATGAGGAAGAAGAGGGCCTCGTGTTTCAAAGATAAAACTAAAAAAATAGACTACTTGGATCTCAGTCCTTTCTGCGCTGTTAGCTGTGCTCTTGTGGCACCTTGCCGCACTTCTCTGGGACTCCGTCTGACTTGCGGGTGGTAATGGTACTCATGGCCCACGGTTTGGTTTGGTGTGGACATCGATACCTTTCAGGCCTTCAGAGCACTGTGTAACCTGTGGCTGAACTCCCTTTAACCATTAGCTGTTTCCACCCCAAATTTCAGATTGCTAAATCGTTGCCGGTTGCGCTTTCCTTGATACTCTCTTGCAGGAATCCGAGTCTTGTAGACAAAAGCTGACACTTGCATTTTCAAGGGACTCAAATGGTTCACTTTTATCAAGTCCGGACAGACAGCTCAGACGCCCCCATCACCTACAGACCAGCAGGCGGGCGGCGGGCAGGTGCGCGGAGACCGCGCCCAGCGGGGCCCGGGCTGGCGGTTGGGCGAGCAGGTGACCGCGGGGTGTCAGGCGGTCCTGGGGCGGCCGAGAGTGGCTCCGGGGGTGCGGGGTGGGGTGTCCTGACCCGGGCTCCAGCTGCACGGCCAGGGGTCGTGGGCGCGGCCCCGGGGCACACACGGGATGGGAGCTGGCTTCAAGCGTGGGCTCCCCCCGGAGGCGGAGGGACGCCTGCTCCAGGTCGCGTTCCTGGCTGGCGGCCTCCCCGCGGGCCCCGACTTCGCCCTGCGCTGGCTCGACGGCGACCCGCACGTCGCCCCTTTGTCTGGCGGCCACCTCGTCCCCGCTCTGTTGTCAGGGCTTCCTCCCGGGAAGCGAGGCTGCCCCCGGCTGTCGCGACGCACGGAGGACGCGGCGAGGGCCGAAGCGCCGCACTCCCGCCGCGCGGGGCGCCCGCCGACAGCCCCGGCCGCAGCCCCGCCGCCCCGCCGCCCCGCGGGCCCTCGCCGAGGCCCGGGAGGGGGGCGGGGCGCGGCGCGGCCCGCGCCCTCTGATTGGCTGCGGGCGTCGAGGCGCCGCGCCGCGATTGGGCGGCCGGGCTGTCTGCGCGCGGGCGCGCGAGGTGGGGAGGGGGCGCTGGAAGCTGCTGGAAGTCAGGGGGCGGGGCGGGCGCGGGCGCGGGCGGCCGGGGGCGCGGGGCGGGCGCGGGGGCGCGGGCGCGCGGGGGCGCGGGCGGGGGCGCGGGCGCGCGGGGGCGCCGGGGGGCGGGCCGGGCCGGGCCGGGCCGGTCCCCGCCCCCGGCCCCGCCCCGGCCCGGCCCCGCCCCGCCCCGCGCCGCTCACACCGCGGGCGGCCAGGGGGCAGGCGCGCCGGCTGCATCCCCATCCTCGGCGTCGCCCGGCTCGGCGCGCGGGCGAGCGGGCGCGGGCGGCCGGAGCGCGGCGGGCGGAGCGCCAGGCCGGCCATGGCCACCACCAGCACCACGGGCTCCACCCTGCTGCAGCCCCTCAGCAACGCCGTGCAGCTGCCCATCGACCAGGTACCCGCGGCGGCCCTGCTGGCGGCGCGCCCTCGCCGCCCCCTCCCCGGCCGGGTGCCATCCGCGCGCGAGCCTGCCGGGGAGGGGGCGACCCGCCTGGTATTGTCCGCGCGCCACCTCGCGCCAGCCGCCCCTCCCCGCCGTGCCCACCCAGCCCCCACCCCGGCCGTGCCCGTGCAGCCCGGGGGGGCTCCGGGCACCGACGTGCGCGCGTGCATGCCCGGCCCTGCTGCCCGCCGCAGCCGCGCCCGGACCCCGCGACCCGGCGTCCCGGGGCCGCTCGCAGGGCGTGCGGGCAGCGGGGTGCGCGGCGCAGGGAGGCCGGGGTGTCCGTGCCCCCCGCGCGCGCGTGTCACCGAGCGTGCCCCTCGGGGAAGCCGCATCGGACGTGCCTCGCAGGAGAGGGGGCCCCGGGCGCGCGAGCGAGGCGCGGGGGAGGCCGGCTCAGGGCGCCGCGACCTGCGCCCTGGGACAGTTTGCGTTCAAGCGCGGCTTGCGGAACGGGAGGCAACAGTTTGCGGGGAAGGCAGAGGTTGGGAAGGGAAGTCAGAGCGGGGTGATCCTCCCAGGATTTCCAGCTGAGAAAGTTGCAACCGTGTCGTTGGCGAGGAGGCGCCCTTACCCCCTCCTCTCTCCCGCCCCCTCGAAGAAACGACCGGACCCGGTGGAGGGAAGGGGGCATGTCAAGGGAGGCCCGCCCGAGTGTGTGCGAAAGGCCTCAGGGTTGTTAAGGAACAAGCAGGATTGTGATGGCAAAAGCAGCGCCATTTTTGTGGAGAAAAAAGTTTGGAAGTAATTTCTCCGAGTGACATTTAGGGTAGTGGTTGGGGAAGGGGGCGGCGGAGCTGGAGAATTGCCCTAGCCCCGGGCTAGAGGTGATTAACTGAAATTTTTGCTTAAAAGTATTCCAGGTGTACTCCATCCAGGAGGGGGTTGTACTTTGCAAGGGGTCCTGGTTCCTTTTCTTGGGAGTGTTGCTGTCATGTCATCAGGGATTTCATTTATAAGACAGGATTCCTCTGTGTCCAGACTCGGTTTCATAGCAGCGAGATGGGAAACCACTCCTGGGCCTGACATTATGACATTAACTTGCTTTGTGCTCGACTGTTTTTTTTTTTTTTTTGAAGACTGAAGTGTGCCTGAGTATATAAAAATTTCTGCCTCCTGTTTGGGCCTGAATCCCTTATTTCTATTTCAGTCCTGATTTTTGATTCCTGGTAAAGTATCTATGCCCTGCAAATCTTGAGCAACAGTTCTAACGCTGTCATGCTAATGAAATACGAGCCGTGAAATTAATCATGTACTCTAAGAAAGTAGTCCTCTCTGTTTATTAATAAACTGATGAGAACCTAGGGTTGTTGTTTTTTTTTTTTTTAAATCTTCTTGGCTCTGTGGAGGATTCTCACTTTTCCAAACTGAAGTACAGTATGACCTTTTAGTGTATTACACTACTGACTTAAGTAGGTTGCTGCCACGGTAGCAGCAAATGGCAGGGATGCAGGATAGGCATCTGTTTAAAAATTTTTTTGATGATGGGAAGCTAGGCCTCAGACTTTTTTCTTTTTAGTTGAGGTGTAGTTGGCATACAGTGCTCTATTAGTTTCACGTGTACAACATAGTGATTGGACAATTCTGTACATTACACAGTGCTCACCAGATAAGTGTAGTTACCATCTGTCACTATATAACTTTTTCATTAATTTTAGGGAACAGGTGTATTCTTTCTTGCTCCGCCTACCATGATGTGTGGTTTTTTTTTTTTTTTTTTTACTCTGCTAATACCTTTTAATTATATAATGCTTATGACTTTTTAAAGTGATGTAGTATTAATGAACTCTTGTAAATATCTCAGCAATCCAGAGCAAGCTCTTCTCAGTACTGAAATAAACAGGAATCTCCAGGAAGGGTGACAGGACTAGAGATTTTGACTTTCCTTCTTATTACCTGTAGGTCCTGATTTGGTATCTTGGACAACTTTCTTTCTCTGGGGACTACTCTCAATTTTTGCAGCCAGTTGTATTTTGAGTTGTTTCCTTTTCTCTAAGCTAATCTGAAGATGTTGGATTAATAACCACACATGCTTAACTTTTTATAGTGATAATAAACTATTAATTTGAAGCACAAAAAATCGACTTTTTTTTGCTGAGAAAACTCTTGGAATAATTAAAAACTCATGTTGTAGATTGGGTAAAGAGTCATTTAATCATTAAGATTGAGCAAAACAGAAATTAATTTTTCTAACATGTAAGTAATTGAGTCCAAGTTGAGAGGAAGCCTAAGAATTACTTGTAATCAAATAGTGTGATTCAACAGGAAAAAGACAAATCAGGAAATGAAAAGTGTAAAAATATAACTTGTTAGTATGTTAATTTGGTATGTGCTAATTAACAGTGTTTCGAAAATTTAGGAAATTATAAAAGCAGGTGTTTAATGTCAGAGGAAGAAAAAGACCGTGGGGCCAGAGAAATAGTTGAACTCTTGTACGAGAGTGAGCATAGAATTTACAAAATGATAGAAAATACTTGTCTGTATGGAGTATACAAATGTACATTGCAGGCTGTAAGGTAAGAGAGAAGGAGAAATGTTTTGCAGTGAGACCAGGCAAAGCAAAGGGGCAGATCTTGCCTTAGACTCCTGAGTTGGTTAATCCTGAGAATTGCAAAGTGACCTTGAGGTAACCATAGTATTTCTCAGCATGCCTTACGTTTAAATAAAAATATTAACTCCAATATGGAGTGAGGGTAAATGATACTTTAAGCCTCTGATGTTGCCCCTTTCTAGGCCTTGGATTCCAGGTGACTTCATTTCTAGGGTGGTTATCGTGAAAGGGGTGGATGGAGAGTGGATTTTGAGTTAGGACTGAGAGAGAGCTGTGCCAGGACGAGGGCCGGACGTGCTGTGGAGAAGCCATCAGATGTCAGTGAATATAATTGTGTTCTTTATTAAGGCGCTGATGTGGTGAATTTTTAAAAGACCCCCAAAGTGAGAATGATTACATGTCCCAGATCAAACTATTTTTTAGAGTTTTTTATTTTTATTTTTTTAAATCTCATCATATCATATGTTCTGCTACATTTGATTGACTTCACTCTGAGTTACCAGACTGAGTCTGCTCTGGTAGCCCCAGAGCAGCTATGGTAAAATATCCCCAGCGATGGGGTATCCAGGGTGGCATTCTTGGCAGCCAGTTGGCCCCATCACATGGTCCCATTTGGAGACAGGGCCATCGGTTTAGGGATGGAGCTATTTGGGTGGAGAGAGGACAAGAGGGAGACTCAGATATTTTGAAAAGTTTGGAGTAGGAAGAAAATGATGGGTGGGGGAAGGAAGATGACCTGTTGCAGCTAATCCTGCAAAGTCAGGTCATCATTACAGTGGGTGACACCTTACAGTTTACAGGTCTCTTTCACAGCATTGTATGATGTAATTGAGCCTCACAATACCTTGTGAAGTCAGATGAGATTCAAGGTCTGATATATTTTAGCTGGATGTATATATGTTATATATATGTCGTACATATTATGGTATTAACCATTTGAGTAGGAGCTCAGTTTTAACTTATAGTCTTTAACATGTGGCAAATAATTTTGGCAGATCACTGTTGTAGATCTGGATTGCCAGTATATTTTGGGGGGAGATAGTGGAGATAAAGAACTTACCAAATACTGAAGTTCTGGTGGTAATTGTTGGAATAGAGAAAACTGTGTGTGTCTGTAAGAGAGAAAGAAGTGTGAATGGAGGCTTATAAAATCCTGTTTTGTTTTTGGTCAATTCGTTGATTGACCTTTTCTGTATATTTTCCCCACTGTACGATATAGGCATCCAATGGAGTGAAGGAATATGTCTGGGAAAAGAGTAGTTTCAAATATTAGCTTATTTAATCCTCCCATAGTTCTGTGCTATGATGAACCCCATTTTACAGATGAAGAAATAAGTGGAGTTTTCAGCATTGGGCCTTTGTAAGAATACGACTTTTAGGGGGAAGAAGGTGAGTAACAACGAAACAAGCCAATCAAGGATTGATTTTATTTTAAAGCTGCCACTTGAACGCTTTAGGTTTAGGACATAAATATTTAACTCATTTGTCTGTCCTGTCTACTTTTACACCCGTAATGAGCATCAGTCTTCATCACGAGAACCCAGAAAATACTGAGACAATCTGCTGTGGAAGATTCCTTTTAATAAGGAAGGCATATGGAACTAGGAATCTTGAATCTGTATTTTAGGCCCTGTCAGTTAACTAATTTTAGATATGTCACTTTACATAAATGAGTTCCCTTCTGTGTAAAATGTGTGTTGCGCTTAGTTTTAAAATTCCATGATCCTGTGTTTGTTTCATTAGCTGAGGAAGCTGCCCCAAATTCTTTCTGGACTGAGTTGGAGGGAATATAAATAAAAACTTGAGGGAGGAAAAATGGACTAATAAATTTTGAAGAAGTTTGCAACAGTGAGAATTGAAACTGCCTTTCTTTAATCTGAAGCAGCTAAGCAAAATAACCACATGCCCTGAAAATTGCAGTTAACGCTGGTTTCCCTGAATTCTGTCCCTTTATCTGTAGGAAGTAGTAGTGTGGTGGTGGGGTGGCAGAGGCAAGATTGGGTCTGCAGCCAGACTCCGCCAGCCCTGTGCTCTTTGGCAGATTACTGTTTTTCTTCGAGCCCCAGTCTCCTCATCTGTAAAACAAATAATAAATAACACCTACTTGTAGATTATTGTGAAGATTAAAACACAAAGTCTCTGTAAAGCGCCTGGCTCCTCGTATGTTTGTTACACCTTTCCTCTCCACGCGTTAGGAACTGTATGTAAGTTAACATCTGTTCATATGTATTCCAGTTTTCATCTTTAGGACTTCCTTTTTTAGGAAGGGAAATAGGAGGTTGAGGTTCAGTCATATGCCCACACAGTGATTAAATTAGGATTAAAAAATCTAGTTTTGAATTTGGAGTCAGAAGTGGTTTTCCTGCCTCTTTACCGCTTCAAGAGTTCTTTTGTCCCCTGC